CATGATCGATCTATGATTGAACCTTATGGTCGAGGGTAAAATTTTATTTCAATTTAAATAATTTTTCTTATGTTATATTACTAATTTTAATGTCTCAAATTTTTTCAATGTTTGTTGTAATTAGGTTTATTCTACCTAAGGTTGTATCCCAAGCTATCACAGTTTATTAAGCAATAATTTTTACAGGCTAGGGCTAAATGGGTAGGGCTAAATGGGTAGTGATACCTAAATTAGAGAAGGAACAATATTGAATTCTTTTTTAAGGTAAGTTTCCAAAATATTTTTCTGGCTTCCTAAATTTGTTCACATTTTTACATTAAATTTTTACTTTTACAGATGAAGGTTTAGTGGAGACCAGATAATTTCTATACTAAAGCATCTCACAGACTTTCTGAGATGTTTAGAGACGCTAGAATTGTAAGGGAGAGGCCACAATGGATTATAGAGAGCATGTTTGGAACAACTTGTTAGCACATTGAAATTTACCAATTTTTTGTAAAAAGTGTTCACAAGCCTAGAAAAATTGGGTTTCTGAAAAGGGTGAGAACATACACACATGTGGCTCCATCAACACACATGAACATATCATTCATATATTAAGTATATATAAACATTGTTTTTATATTATACAAGTTTAAAATTTTATAAAATAATTGTTTATTAAAATGTCTTACAAGCACAAGTGCTTGGACTGTGTTTGTTGATGAATTTTTCAAGAAAACACATATATGGAAGGGTAGTGGTCAACTTGTCAATGAAAGATCTAGGAAGACACAAATGAACCATTTCTTTAATATTAACATTACTTTTTCAAATAAACATATAATTTAATATCTTAACTTCTCTTTTTTATATATAATAGGAGAATTTTAAGACTAAACTTTCATAGGTCGGATCTGAGGTTGAATCCTGCGTTAATGAAGTAGAAGACACAACTACTATCGACCTTACACTAGATGAGATTATCAGGACTCGATGTTGATTCAAAGCAGTTGGTAGAAAAAGTAAAGGAAGACTTTATGAAGCTGGACAACTTTTCTCAAAGTTATAAAGGTGGGAATGATAGCTTGAAGCAACAAGCATCCAACTCCTCATATGAATATGAAGACATGATCCAACTCAAACAACTCTTTGCAAGTGAGGAGGAGACTCGATGCACTAGGAGACAAATGAGTGATTGACTCGTCAATTTGAGCCATTTCAATAATTATTTAGTACAATATGCAGTTCTTCGTTCTTGATGCTCAAGCTGTTATTCAGCAACACCAAATGCTTCAATATAACCAACAAGATGCTCCCCAACAATAACAAGATGCTTCCCAACAATAACAATAACATGCCTCCCAACTAGAAGATGAGAACCGACAACTACAAAATGATAATGATCAACAAGAGGACAACCCAAAACAACCACATCAATCCCCAAACTATTTAAATTATTACTTGTTCATTACAATAAACATTGGATATATATGTTTTTAACCACATTATGTTTAAATTGATTATGTTACACAAACTTTTTAGTTAATTGATGTATGAATTTGTTCTTATTCAACAACCACATCAATCTCTAAACAATTATTTGATTGATTTAGGCTGGTATTAATTTTGATTGAAAAATAGCTTATGACATATGCATATCAATTGTTATTACAGATGAATATTTTTTTTTATAAATTATGCAAATGTCAGCCAAACTTAATGACGAATAATTTCTTTGGTAATTATCGAGTATTGATGAAAATATCCATCAATAGGCAATAATATGGATTTTATTATATAAATAAAAAGATGATCATAACATAGATTGATATTCTAATTTCTAACACATAAAATAAGGATAAGACTTGCAAATGGTCTTTATACCAGTGTAATCATATGTTTTGTTATTAACAGTGCAATTATATTTATGTGAACTTTTCCTTTCTCACTCATTTCCACGTTATTTCATCCTTCTTTTTGTGAAAAAAAAAAACTTTGATTTTGTAGTGGTCAAACTAATTCCTATATTTCAGTGCCTTAACTAACTTACCCTTTTCTTTTCTTGGGTTTAGAAGGTTTATTCATTTATGTGGTTGCCCTTTTGTCATGGTCTCATCATTTTTTGGTTTTTTCTTCAATATTTATCTCTTTTTTGTTGCTATACTTCTTTTGGGGATTCCTTGCTTGTGTTGCCTAGTTTTTTTTTTGTGGTCCTGAAATTCTATTTTCGGTGCTTTAACTTTTGTCTTTCTCTTTTTATGTTCTCTTGAGTGATTTCTTGAAAGATTAGTTTCTTCTATTTTTCTGTTGTCCTAACCTTTTATTGACTGGTTGAGATTTTCTCTTGCCCACATTCAATGATGAAAAGCTTATCCAAAAAGATAGATGACAAATGTGCATACATGCAATTTCTTAAGGGGAAAAAATATAATCAAGAGCCCATTGACCATATGCACTGACCATAGAGAATAATGTACCGAATTCCACATTGAAAGGCAATGACTAAATAGCCAATGCAAAAATATTAAGAGTTCATGCTGCAAAATACAAACATACATGGAGATACCAGCATTGTTGCGTTGTAGGAAATGAAATATAAATTGAAATCTCACGTTCAATAGAAATAAAAAAATTGAATTCAAGTTTCAATAGAACCCTTACATTAAAAAATGGAATAACTTATAAATAAAAAGAATTTAAAAATAATATTTCAATATTTTAAGTTAAAAATATATAACATCGTATTTTTTATATAAGAATATTTTTGTATTAAATCCTCGAAAATATCGATTAACAAACGCTTCCATCTTAAATCTTGAGTTAACTGGACATTTTATATGCAAGGTTCAATTCACAATCATTTATATTTACAATTTTTAATTCTGACATGTTTCATATATTTTTATCTTTTGATATTGATTTATTATTTATTAATAAATATATTATTTAACCCTAAGCTTAGTAATTAATATCTATCACTAATTACATGCATGGAACAAACATCATGCAAGTGTTAGTTTCCAGCACTGCAAACAAAAAAAATAAAAAATATCTAATAATTACCATTAACAAAGCCTAATAACATATATTACACGCTATTTCTGTTGATGAGAGACAATTTATTAGTTACTTAATATTATATATTGATATTCAAAATCGTGTGTCTCATATACAAGATCTATTCTCGTCCGCTTATTCCTCTAATTCATGATCATCATTAATGAAAACGAGCTTCAGTGGTGATTATTGTGTGACAAATATTTTGTCACATTTAGAGAAATGACATCAGGTTCCAAACACGAAAACTACATCTAAGAAAACAGGAAATTATCGTTAACTAGAGAACGAGAACCAAAAATAATTCTGTGTACCGAATTAAAACCACGAAAATACAAAATCTAGTACATTCGAGAATGTTACAGAACTTTTATATGAGACAGGCATTTATATCTATCTAATTATTTATTCATGCGTCATTATTAGGACGTTAACCGCAGCTTCGAAACCACTTATTCTTATCTTTTAAGATTAAAGAAATGCAAGTTGCCTTATGTCGTGATGGTGGTGGGACTCGTTATCCAAAGTTAACATGAATGAGAGTATGGACTGCATGCATTGTGGTGTCATGTCCCGATAACACATGCTTCTCGTTCAACTCTTCGCACCTACAATAACTATTGTTTTATTTTAATATAAAAAATCTGGTATATATATATATATATATATATATATATATATATATATATATATATATATATTGGTTGTAAATAAGTAATTTTATAGATTATTAGTAAAATATATTTTTATATAAATATTTCATTCAAGAAAAATATTTTCATATAAATTTTTGTATTCAAATATTATTCTATTTAAACTTTTATCTGTCTTAATTTTATTTATAAATAATGAATTAAAAAAAAAAATATATATATATATATATATATATATATAAATTATTCTTAATTATATCAAACTCGCAACTATACTGAACAAAAAGTATTATGAGTTTAGTAACCAAAACAAGCTTTGTTTTTTTTTTTTTTTTTATATATTTGCAGTTGTATAACAAATCTATTTCTTGTGTTTCTAGTAAAAGTAAATTCTTGAAAATCATGCACCGTCGAAAGGAAAGTGTTTATCGAAAAATATATGAATACCATCTTTGATGAATTTGTGGGAGAAAACTATTAAAAGATTAATTTAATAATGTAAATCTGAAAACGATAAAATATCTGACTAAATATGTGATTGATTGTACGGAAATACTAAGCAATGTTTTTGATAGCAGGAAATGATGAATTAGTTTACCACCTACCGACTAGGTATTAAGAGAAGTCTATTCTAGCTTTCTTCTACCGTGTTAACAATTATTGTTATTTGTGGTTTTGTAAATCTATCAAATGTTCTATCAAATGTTAACATATTATATGGTCAATGTTTCAACAAAATCCAAATCCAGTCCCTCACTCTATGCTTCCAGAATTTTCCAAACCATGGCCCACCCACTTATGAATTGCTTCATGAAGAAGGTGCCAAGCAAATGAGCATGCTTCTAAGATATCTAGAACTTTCTAATGTATTATTTTTTATCCGTATACACCAAAATTTGCTTCTATATAGTCCCTCTTAGACGTTTCACTTTACAGTTCAGTTATAGTCCTTGGTTCCAGAGACAACCAACTCTTTCAAACTGCATAAACGACTCTCTTTCTCAAAGAAAAAAAGGGTTATCCAGAAAAACAAAATTTAATCGTTCACTTTTTGTTCATGTTCATTCTTAATCTTTCCCTTCAACCTCCTTTTGATAATGCCGTAGATTTTCTTCTTTGTAATATATTTATACTGTTTCTCCCTTTCCCTCCCCACTGTAATTAGTCTCACTTCTCCATGCTTCCATTTCAATTCTCTTCAATTTAATACTCTATGGTTATGCCGAAATTTCCTTACTGACCAAGTTACCGTTCTAGCATAAACAACGAAACCACAAAACCCATCAAGTTAATCAGAAAAATTGAAGAATGAATCATATGAATCCAGTGAAAGAAGAATACTTGGAATCATCACCATCATCATCATCATCATTTCAGTTAGGTAGTGAATATCCACCAAAACCAATTGAGGGACTTCATGACACAGGACCCCCAGCGTTCCTCAACAAAACTTTTGATGTTGTGGATGATCCAGTTACGGACCACGTTGTTTCTTGGAGCAGAGACGGCGCAAGCTTTGTGGTTTGGGATCCCCATACCTTCTCTGCAAGTCTCCTTCCGAGATACTTCAAGCACAACAATTTCTCAAGCTTTGTCAGGCAACTAAACACTTACGTATGTATTATCTAATCACAATATCTCTTTAATTATTTTTCCTTCAAAGTTTAATGCATATGTGGTTTAAGATTTTGCTTGTGAAGACAAATTAATAAAGACATCACGAAACCGGTTATATTTTCGCTCTGGATGATGGCATATAAAGCCCCTTCTTGGTTTTGTAAATTATGTTGTATCTTGATTTCTCTAATTCTCCTCCTAATCAATGAAAAATAACTCTTTAGATATTTTTACTGAATAATTAAATATTGGAATTAATTCCAATTTATTCTTTGTTTGACTTCGTTCAATTTTGTGGTTTGAAATATTGATTGTGGTGATCAATTTTACAGGGTTTTAGGAAAATTGATCCAGATAAATGGCAGTTTGCAAATGAAGGATTCATCAGAGGGCACAAGCAAATGTTAAGAAGCATAAGGAGAAGGAAAGCACCTTCCCAAATAACAGAAGGTCGCCACTGCGTTGAAGTTGGACGTTTTGAATTAGACAAAGAGGTTGATCGTTTGAGTCATGACAAGCTAGTGCTAATGATGGAGCTTATGAATCTGAGACAACAGCAGCAGAAAGCCAGAATATACATTCAGGAGATGGAGCAAAGGTTGCAAGGGACTGAAATCAAGCAGAAGCATATGATGGCATTCTTAGCTAGAGCCATAAAAAATCCTGCCTTCATACACCAACTCCGACAGAAAGAGAAGACAAAGGAGGTTGAAGAATCCTTGACTAAAAAGAGAAGGCAAATTGAGCAAGGAGCTAGAGGTATTGGAGAATCAAGCAGTGGGGGTGAAGGAAGGAGCAGTGTTAAAGTTGAGGCCTTAGAATATGAGGATTGTGACTTTGGAGTGTCAGAGTTAGAAATGTTAGCAAGGGAAATGCAGGGGTTTGGAAAGGGTAGGATAGAGCAGGAGGTAGAATCTGAGGCACTAGAATCACAAGAGAGGCTGGATAGATTACTTGATGAAGAGTTTTGGGAAGAACTATTGATCAGTGAGAAGTTTGGGGGTGGATTAGACATTCTAACTACTGAAGATAAAGATGAAGATGTTGTCAATGTGTTGGCCAATGAACATGGTTTCTTGGATTCAAGTCATTAAGTGAACCACTGAATCATCATTTAACCCTTTCATTTTGTTCACTAGGTTCAAGACTTCAAATCCTGTCAAAGTCAAGTATATAAAGGAGGCAGCATATGTTGGAGCCTAATTGGCAAGACAGTAAATTACAAGAAGGGAAATAATATTATCTTTGGTGTTTAATTCTAACTCTTTTATATGTCCTTGCCCTTTTGTAGCCCCCAAATCTCACTTCTCTCATTGTCATTGTTTGATGAGGTAGGTCGCTGATGGTGCTTGGACAAGAGTATTTGGTAGTGATAGCAGTCACTATAAACCCAAGGTTCAGTTTTTCATAAACCCCTTTCAAACACTATGTCTGTGTCAACCCAGATATGTCACTGCTTGTTGTGATTTGTTTATCACCTCAATGAATGTAGATTAATCAGAAGATGTAGAATGGACAAGAAGTAGCTGTTCCTCAACAATAGTAACTGAAGATCGAGAAACAGGTTAAGGTTGTCGGTTTGATTTTATTTCCCCTCCTAAAATCTGTGTGTAAATCCTTAACCATTGAGAATGTGGACAGAAATTAGAGTGAGACCACGCAATGGATGATATCACCCATGTAGGTTTCAACATCATCACATGTTCATAGTTTGTTTCTCGGAAAAAATAAAAATCCTTTTTTTTTTTTTCTTTTGTTGTAGAAAAATCATAAAACAGGGATGCAAGAATAGAATGATAACTTTAGGTAACTAGTTACAATAGGAAGATCATATAGTTAACATCTTATCGCACAATAAATCGAATTTAAAACATGCATTCCATAATATTTCGTTTCCATTCAATAGTTATAATTCTATGCTTATAAGAATGGGCTAAATTATATAAATGGTTCATCTCATCAGCTTAAAGTTAACTGGATTTATACTTAAAATTAATCTCTCATTTCATCCTGCATCTTCTCCATCCGTTCTCTCTCTTCCTCTTTCTTCTTCCCTCTCTCCCCGTCATCCCACTTACACTCTTAAAAAAAAAAAAAAAAAAGGAAATTTTTTATTTCATTATTTATTTTTGGAAATATTTTCTTTGAACATGTAGAGTGATTTTGATGTCATTATCTGATGTTAAAGAAGGGATTGAATATGGGAATAGACTCAGATGAGGAGGAGGGAGGGGAGGTGAAGGGGAAGGGGGAAGAGGAAAGAAGATGGGATCATTAAAAAACATTTTAAAATATAAAATGTTTAAATTAAATTTATTAAAAAAATAAAAAAATATTTGGATAATTTATTCTATAAATATATAAAATGTCTTATTTATTTATTTATTTATTATATATATATAAACATATTTTCAACACTTTCCTTTTAATCATGTTTTAATGGATTAAATTTGTTAAGAATTAAGATTGTTTTAAATTAGAGGCTAGATTTATTAAAAAAAATATTTTAAATTTATTTCAATCAATAAAACAACCTGTATCCCTAACATTTCATATAATTATAATTTTTTTTTCTGTTTAAAGCTTGTTTGATGCTTACATTGCACTGTGTGTAAATATTGAAAGAAAGAAAATCAATGTAATAAGATATATATTTTAAATAATAATTTTTTTAATTTTCATAATAATTATTTTAATAGTTGATATGATAGAAATAAAATGAAGGAAATAGGATAAAAATACTAAATTTGCATAGTTTGATTGAGAAGAGAAAGTGGAAAATTCACTAGTACAAAAATCACTTTTAACATCGGCCTATCCACATCGGTTCTTAAAGAACCGATGTAGAAAGTGAATTCAAGACTTTCAACATCGGTTCATCAAGGAACCGATGTAGAAAACACTTTCTACATCGGTTCTCGGATGAGCCGATGTAGAAAGTCTTTATAAAATTAAGAGAATTGTCATTGTCAAGATTCGAACCCAGTACTTAGAGTCGAAACTGATACTCCAACCACTAAGTTACTAGAATTTTACGATAATAATTTATACATAAATTATATTTATATACAAATAAAAATGTATATCCTTGTAAATATATAAATATAAAATATATAAATACAAATACAAATATATTTATATATTTATATGTTGGATGTGAGAGCGCGCTCGAGAGTGAAAGTGTGTGACAAGTGGATTTTCAAAATTTGATGTTAAATTTGTGAGGGAGTTTCTTTATATGAATTTGTAATTTAATAATAGAATAAAATCTTTATAATTTATTTATAATAATATAGAATATAATCTTTATAATTAATTTATATAATGATATAAAATAAAGAAAAAAATTATTTTATATCATTATATAAATAAATTATAAAGATTATATTTTGTCATTAAGTTATAATCCATATAAAGAGACTCAGCTCACAAATTTGACATTAAATTTTGAAAATTCACTCGACACACACTTTCATCCTCGAAGCGCTCTCACATCCAACATATAAATATATAAATATATTTGTATCTGTATTTATATATTTTATATTTATATATTTACATAGATATACATTTTTATTTGTATATAAATATAATTTATGTATAAGTTATTATCGGAAAATCCTAGTAGCTTAGTGGTTGGAGTATCGCCTTCGACTCTAAGGTCTTGGATTCGAATCTTGCTTAGTGACAATTCTCTTAATCTGATCTTAAAAAATATAAAAAATAATAAAAATATAATATAAAAGGGAGAAGAATTGCTAGTGACAATTCTCTTAATCTGATCTTAAAAAATATAAAAAATAATAAAAATATAATATAAAAGGGAGAAGAATTTTCCTCCTAGTGTAGAATGAAACGAGAAGGAATTTTTTTTATTAATTTTAAAAGTTATAATTTTCTTTTTAGAAAAATACGTTTATAAAAAATACATTATTGACAGTCATATTTTTTTAACTATTACATTACACATTTCATATATTATTTTCACTCTCTTGTGTTCTTTCATTTAAACAAACAGAAATAAATTTCTAATTATTAAATGATAATGTAAAGCTATTTTATATTATCCATCCATTATCTTAAATTTTATAAAAAATTCACATTGTTAGGTGTAAACAAGTTCATTATGATCTTACTATTTATACCTCAATTAGTAAGTATTTTTCTTTCTTTTTTATATAAATATTACACTTAATTACCCTTTCTTTTCATTATTTTTCTTCAAATAATACTTGTTCCTCGAACATTTTGCTGTTTAGAAAATGTTATACTGCATCCTCTCTTTTGGAAACATATTCATCCGTTTTGGTCATCGAAGCCTCATTATTATTTATTTTTTGAAACATTGTTATTCCTTAATTTTTCTCCACTCCCTTTGGAAACTAATTTCGAAATAATGCACTTGTTCCAAACGGTAATATCTAATCATTATTATGCACTACCTCGCTACTCAAATAAAAAAAAATGATCTGATTCTCATTAATTAAAAATGTAAATTTCTTATTTTTCCATTATGATACAAAACTAAAACATGTTTAAAAAAAATTAAGAAATAGATTAAATTAAATTAAAATTGATATATATATATATATATATATATATATATATATTTATATTATAAATTAATATGACAATAAATTCACTTATTTTAAGAATAAATATCATAATAAATCTTAAATAATCATTTATTTTAAAATATAATAATGAAGATTAATTATTATATTAAATTAATAAATTATTAAAAAATAAATAATGATAATAAATTATTATTTTAATATTTAGTAAATATATTTTTTTATAATTTATATATTAAATTATTATATCTTAAATAAAATTAATTTTATTAATAAAATTTAAATTTTAAAATATATTTTGTATTATTAATTTTTATTTAAATATTTTTAAATAATTTTTTTAATATACATATATTAATATATTTTTTTAATTCTCGATAGGGACAATATTGGCTACCATTTTGACTATTTTAGTTAACGGTTTTAAAACGCGAGTCAAGACAGTATCTTTCCCCATCTTTAATATCTAAGTCTTGTGGTACATTCAATCTTTCTAAAAAAAAGTAATCATTTATTTACATTAATAATTGAAATGAAATTATACCGTTTTCTTTTTAATATATAGGAATATTGTAAAATTCTTAGAGATTAACTATATTTTACCAATATAAATTATTTTTGTAAGGTCAAGAATATATGGCAAGACTATCTTCAATTGCTCAATCTTCTTTTAAGACATATATTGTATATATAATCTTTGATTGATGTACCAGACAATTTTTATATTCAAGTTAGTTAAAATGTACTAATATAAGAAATATACACAATGATGAAGAGTAGTCACGTATCTTTGTATCCTCCTCTATATTTATGGTACATTAAGCTTTCTCTTTATTGTTTTATTGATTTGCTTTAGTTGTATCTCTACGTGACATTGCTTTTGTCCTTATAGCTATAGTGTGTGGTGCAATATATATGTCTACAGTACAGTACATTGGTCCTCCAAATTTAAGGGAGTAATAGCGATGGAAAAATTAAGCTTTAAAAAAAAACTTATTACCTTTTACTAGTAATTTCTTGGCTCATTCTACCTACATTATTGTAGAAAAGGCTTTTTATGTCGGTTAAAATGGAATTTTTATGTCAGTTAAAGAAGTGACATAGATATAGGGGTTATAGAAAATAAGATTTTTTTACGTCGATTATTATAAACCGTCATAGAAAGTAAGACTTTTTATGTCGGTTAATCATACAACCGATATAGAAAATCTTACTTTCTATGTCGATTTATATTGTTAACCGACGTAGAAAATTTTACTTTATTTAATCCTTGTATCTATATCGGTTAATAGTAACCATTATTGTATGTGATATTAATCTCAGTTATGTAGATAAACGACATAGAAGGTTAGACTTTCTACGTCAGTTAATATCATAATCGACGTAAAAAATACTTTTTATGTCAGTTAATGTTACAATCGACGTAGAAAGTGTGTTTTTTTTTAAAAGGACCTACCTTTTCATGACAGTTCCTGTCTTTTCATCAAATAGACCTGCCTATTCATCACAATTCCAGACAG